TCCCATCACCCCCAGCCCCATGCCGCCCCAACTGCTGCAGTACCTGCCTCAGGGGGGGGTCCCGCTCCCAGGGGGCCAGCCAGCCCCCCTGCTCTTGGCCCCCAATGCCGTCGTGCCCTGAATCACCCCAGACTGGCTCCTGCCCCTGCTGCCCCACAGGCCCTACGGGGAGAGGGGCAGGCTGAGCCCCACGCCAGCTCCCATGTCTGGGCAGGGGTCTGGGGTGCAGGAATCACCCCCCCCAGACCCATACGGGGGTCCCCCGCCACCCACCTGGCTGCGGTTCCTGGGGTGCCAGGCAGGGAAGGGCTGGATCCTCTGGCAGGCTGGGGGGGCTGGGGCTGCGCGGGGGGGTCCCGGTGTGGGGCATCGGGGCAGGTGTCAGCCCAGGTAAGGGGGACCCCCCCCGGGGGCTCGGGACCCCCTCGCCTGGCCCCGCCAGCAGCCCCAGAGACACCCATGCGGGGGGGCTGGGGAGGGGGTAGGTATCCAGGGGGGGTCCATCCTCATCCTGGGAAGTGCCAGGGGGGCTGGGGGGAGGCAGAGTCACAGCCTCCTCGATGCCCAGAGGGGGCTGCCAGGGGGGACTGCCGGGGGGCCCCAGCCCGGGAGTGCTGCAGGGGGGCAGCGGCTCTGCCCCACAAGTGCTGTCGAGGGACGTCGACCCAAGAGGGCCGGGGGGGCACCCCATCCTGGGGGGACTGGTGGGGAGCAGGGACCCTGGCCCAGGCACATCAGGGGGGGACCCTGCCCCTGCTGGGCTGGGGGGCCCCCAGGTGGCACAGGGAGCCGGGGGGGCTGTCCCTATGGGGCTGGCCAGAGGGGGGGGTCCTGTCCCCACAGGGCTGGGGGGGATCCCCATGGTGGCACAGGGAGGGAGCTTTGTCCCTATGGGGCTGGTAGCATGGGGTGGCCCTGCCCGGGCTGGGCTGGGGGGGCTCCCCAGGGTGGCACAGGGAGGGGTCCCCCTTCCCACAGGGCTTGTGGGGCTCCCAGTGAGGGCAGAGGGAGGGGTCCCCCTCGCTGTGGGGCTGGTGGGGGTCCCAGTGGGGGCACAGGGAGGCGTCCCTGTCCCCATGGGGCTGGGGGGGCTCCCCAAGGTGGCACAAGGAGGGGTCCCCCTCCCTATGGGGCTGGTGGGGGTCCCAGTGGGGGCACATTGAGGCGTCCCTGTCCCCATGGGTCTGGGGGGGCTCCCCAGGGTCGCACAAGGAGAGGTCCCTGTCCCCACTGGGCTGGCGGGGGTCCCAGTGGGGGCACAGGGAGGCGTCCCTGTCCCCATGGGGCTGGGGGGGCTCCCCAAGGTGGCACAAGGAGGGGTCCCCCTCGCTGTGGGGCTGGTGGGGGTCCCAGTAGTGGCACATTGAGGCGTCCCTGTCCCCATGGGGCTGGGGGGGCTCCCCAAGGTGGCACAAGGAGGGGTCCCCCTCCCTATGGGGCTGGTGGGGG